TTTTTCTGACGCAAAATTTTCTGAAGATACCAACTCACGATGTTAGACAGAAAAAAAAAATGATTGCACTGAAACTCGCCACAGCTATTAAACATAATCACCGCCAGCTGTGAGGCAAAGATAGGAGGAACAAGAAAAACAAGACAGTTGAGAGAATGGGCGTGTAATATGGGAGTATGGGCTGAAGACAGAAGGGCCAGGATGCTATGGTGTCTGTGTGCTGTCCCTTTCATCATGGTTCCATCCCAGACCCTGGTAGGTGAGGTCTGGACACTGACCCTGGAGGCTTATATTTTGCTAGGTGCAGAATCTCACCCTAGGTCTCATGTTCTCCTTTCTCACAAGTTTCTGGCCTCAGATCGTGGATAAAGAGTTGGTGAGACCAAAAGTCTCAGCCTTCTTCCAGCTTACAGGCATTGATTAAAGGTGGTTCAGCTCTCTACCACCTGCCCCGCATAAATTGGTGGACAGAATATTCAAGTGGGCCTCTTACCAGGAGGAAATTGGGCCATGTCATGTTTGAAGAATCAACCCCTAACAGGAATTCACCACCTTCTACTGCACATGTGGGTTTTCTTCCTAGTCAGGCTGCCTAGGGTCAGCTCTTACCTCCAATTGGTCAGAGTGAGTGCAGTCTCAGCATTTGGATTGGTGTCAGCAGAGAAGCCCTTGGTTCTCAAGATCTTGCCTGCCACGGCTGCAAGAAAGATTGTTGGGCTTGACCAAACGTAATAGGGGTGTCACTTCCTGCAGGTAGCACTGCCCAGCTCTTTCAAATTTACTCACTATTTTATGACATCTGAAGTTGTGTGTGTGTGGCCAAATGGTCTGTATAAGCAATTCTGTGGACAAACGGCATCCATTCATCACCTAAGCAAGATCCTGATTGCAAATCTGGAGAGGACCCAACTCTGCCTCCACCCTATCAGATAAATCATCGAAGGAAGAGGAATGCCCGCCCTCTGTGGACTTCCTCTAGAGTTTTCATCATTGTCACGGTGTTCTATGCTACTTGGTCTCATGCATCTTTCATTTTCTTGGTTTCTCTGTTTTATCCACTGTTTATGCCTTCATCTAAGCTAAGATTCTCCAGATTCAGGAGTGATAGGCTGGGTCATTAGACTTAATTCAGACGTGGTGCTCTCAGCAGACATCCCGCCCCTCCAATAGATGGTCCTTGAGTGATTGCACCTCCAGTCTATCCAGGCTGGAATGCCAGATTATAAGCTGATGGATGTAAGTTTCTGAAAGACCTAAATGTAACTACCATGAGCTAGGCAGCAGTTCAGTTTAACTGTCCTCCTTGTCCCATAGACATATGTGTGTTGGTGTTCCCTTTCTTCTACAGAGTTTGATTGGCCAGGCGATAGATAATTCAACATACTTTATATCACAGGGACATTGGACCTGTCTTTTTTACCCGCCCAAGCACAAAGTGTCTGGGAAAACATATTGGAACAATCCATATCCAAGGGAAAACAGACATGAATTTAGAAGACTACTTTGAGGTCTGCCAGTGCTGGTTCTGGTTTCATAAGTGAAAAGCAGCTATCCCGGTAGAATCTCTTCTCCAAATCTTTAAACGCGTAGAGGAATTTTCCGTGTCAAAGTGGTTTTTAGGGGGAAAAAAACATGCTCTAATGCAGGAGAAAGAAACTAAAGAACAAAAATAAGAAACAAAGACAAAAAAAATCCCACTATGGGCTCTTGTGTGAGGGTTCCTCGCGGTGAGCCTGTAGGACAGAGTCATCTTGTTTCTCTGTGATACCTGCCTTTGTGTTTGGCCTTACTGAGCCTGCCAGTTGTGTGGAATGAGCACAACTGACAGGATTTAAAGGCTAAGCCTAACCTTTCTAATCCATCTATTCCCCATTCCCTGCCTTAGGCCATGCCTCTTCCATACGTCGATACGACATCCTTGCTCCTCTGATGGGAGCTACACTCATTTTCAGAATGTCAATCAAAACCTTCTCCTCCAGGAGTTGGGGAGATTCAAGTTTCTCCTTCTGACTAGATAGAAAAAAGCTGTGAGAGATTTTCGGAATAAGATTGCTGTCAGTGTGTTTGCCAGCTGTGCTTAACTTTTTCGTGTTTTCATTTCAGTGGTCTGGAAATATAATTTAGAGTTCTTTATTTTTTTTTGCTTTCTCCTAGTATTAGATTAACTAATAGAGTTAACTCTGAATTAAGCATATGTGCAGAGATCAGTTCATTATCAAAACATTTACTCAAGTAAACACATTGATACTGAATGATACCTATATGTCTGGATAGGTACTGAGTCCAGGGGATATAAAATATTCATGGTACTTACAAATGGATATGTTGAATTGAAACCCTGTTGTAAAAATACTTAAAGATACTAAAACCAAAAACCACATGCAATGTGAAAAAAACAGATCAGGGCCCTGCTCTGTCTAAGCTTTTGTTCTAGTAGAGTAACCAAAAATAAATACTTGTGCAATATGGCAAGAGGTACAGGTTCCAAATCATGAATAAATCAACTTTAGGAGATGGAGAATAATGGGGAATGGGACACTGTTTTACATAGGAAGTGCAGGGAGGGCCTCTAAGGCACAGAAATATCTGAGAAAAAGTCTGAAGGGTGTGAGGAAAGGAGCCATGCCTGTGGCCTGAGGAAGCGTTACCCCGGCTGAGGATGGACTGGCTTGCCAATGTTTTTTTAAGGGTTCCGGGAGAGAAGGCAAAGGGGAAAGCAGTGCCACTCGTTAGAAATCCAGGGTAAAGAGTCTGAGAACGTGGTATTCCTTGGTCTAGAGAGGCTGTGTGGAAGTAGTGGACAGTGCATAGATTCTGCAGCTATTTGGAAGATAGAGCCACCAGAATGCCCGATGGCTTGGGTGTGATGTGTGAGGCAAGCAAGAGGAGCCAAGCGTGACTCCGTGCAGTCATTATCTTCAATGAACACTATGTAAACAAATGAACTATGTAACTTGAGCATATAGACAGAGGGGAGGGGGTAATTGGAAGAGAAAGATGGAAGGGCTGACATTTACCAAGAAGCTGACAAGAATATGAATATGGAACCCCTCGGTACAACTACTTACTACATTATTATTATTATTAATAATAATAACTGATTTTAGCCTTGACCATAGCTACTGTCTGCTTGGAATAAGAGTGGGTTTGACAGTTGGTGGTTTGAATCAAGGGATCAGTTTGAGCGCGTCCCTCTTGAGCTTCGCTCTGGACAGCCAGGCAGCCTTGCTGAGGAGGCAGTTGAGTATGAGAAAGTCTAGAGCTCAAGGAGTGAGGTTGGGGCAAGAGAAGAGATCTGAATGACTTCAGTGTACAGAATGACTTAAAGCCCTGTGTTGCTTGAGCCCATCCATGGAGTCAGCAGAGACAGAAGAGAGGTTTGAGGCCTAAACTCTTGTCATCTAGGAAGCATAGAGATTAAGAAGGAGAATGGCTAGAAAAGTACAAGAAAGCCAAGAAAGAATATTTTCTCAGAGGTAGAAGACAAGAAGACATCATTCTAAGAAAGAATACCATCCCTTTTGCCAGCTGCTCCTGGAGAGACTTGAAGATTAGATGTTTTCTTGGCAACTTGGATAAAGCATTGTCAGTGAAGCACTAGGAAGAAAATGGAAACGAATCTGTGCTAGAGAAAGCAGAGCTGGGCTAGGAATGTGACTCGGGGATAGATGGCTTGCCTACCACGTTTGAGGCTCTGGGTTTGATTCTTAGTACCACAGTAGATATATGTACACATGGGGAAGGGGAGAGCGGGAGAGAGCAGTGTGTGTGTGTACAGACAACTTTCCTGAGGAATTTTGTAAAGGGAGAGAAATGTGGAGGAGCCGAAGTAAGCTCCTCAGGCTAAGAACTGTAATGGCATATTTATCCATCAATGGGAACTATTGCCTCACGATGCTGGAATGAGATGGAACTGTTGGAGGCGGAAGGGGCTGGAATGCAGTGCCCAAGTGGAGTGTTGGGGAAAGCTAAATATGTTGAGTCAGATGTATGGAGGGCAGCAGGCAGGGTAGTGGGAGCCTGTGGACAATCAGTGGGTGATCTTGTGTTCAAGCCTCCAACCCCTTTTGTCAGAGGAGGAGACAGGTGAATTAATGAGAATCAGCGTTGCTCATGCTTCCTGTGTGTCAGCAGCACCGTGGTAGCTGGTTAAAATGCTAGCTACTTCACTTTGGAAGTTTCTTTGAATGTTTTGGAGGTATCCGAGGGTTTCCAATTTTCTCTAGTTTGAAGGTGATGCTGATTCTGATGCCTCCGAGACCAGCCTTTGGTCCGAGACCAGACATTTGGGCTGGGAAAATGGGTTCAGGTGGAGTGACTGGGATGGTGCTAAATGTCTTGCATTGTGCATACAAGTGAATTTTGTCAGCTTGCTTATATGTCTTTCTTCAATCTTGTTCTATCTCATATGGCAGGGAGAAACATATGCCTCTTTCCCTGAAATACATGGTAACTCTGCTGTTTATATGATCTGCTCTAGGGCCAGATTCTGAATCACATTTTGAAAAACTAAAAGTAAAATCCCATTGTGTTGTGTTGTGTATAGGGTTATGACACTCTGGCCTGAGGTGGTACCTGGAGTGGCTGAGTGTTTGCTTAGCAACTGTGAGGTTCTGAGTTCTAAATGCAGTGTTGCCAGGGTTGTTTTTTTTTTTTTTAGAAAAAAAAAGGTTATGTCCCAAGCTAAATTTTTAAAGAGTTTTATTGTCCTTTAGAGGTGTTCATATCCTCATACAGAAAGTAAGTGGCTAGGCGCAGAGTTTGACCTGAAGAAAATAAGTCTTGGCCCATGTACTAAGGGAGAATGGAGCTGTGAGAGGAAGGGCCACAGCTTACCATTAGAATAGAAAGAATGACTTCCACCCTCACGAGCAGTATTACTTCAGATGAATCCTTGCAGCGGCAATTTAAACAGAGCATGGTATGTTCGCACACTGAGCTGTACTATAGTCGCTTTTTTAAAAATGTAGCTGATACTTTTCTCTTTTATTGTAAAACAGATTTTGTTGGAGCCAGGAGTGATCCAGGATGTGTTAGCAGCTGGCAGTCACCTACAGCTGTTGGAGCTTCTCAATTTATGTTCCCACTATCTCATTCAGGTACGTGAGCTCGCATGCTGCTAACACTCCCTTTCTAGTCCCTTCCACCCCCTGTAGTCCTAAGCTGTTCCCCATCAACTGGAGCTCCATGATAAGTAAAATGGTGTGGGTGTGGGTGTGTGTGTGTGGGTGTATGAAGGAGCAGGGCGTGCATACACATGCACATGTGAGGATGTGTGTTATAGGAGGGGTAGAATTCCTCCCAGACACAAGCTGAGAGGATTCTAAGAAGATGGCTACAATTCTTGTGTCAAGAGCATTTCCCCCCATCCTCTCTGCCTACCCTCAGGCAATGGATTAACTCAACAACTATGCACCATTCTTGTAGGGTCCTGGGGAGATGACACTGAAAAGGGGTCCTGACCTTGGAAAGGCCCACAAATGCAAGAAAAGTAGATTAGCCACTAAAGATTTCAGTGAAAGTAGATAATACATCACAGTCGTATATAATCCATTAGTGTGTGATCCTCCCAAGGCAGCAAATGCTAAAGAAGGGATGGAGAGCTGAGCATAGTTGCCCTGTTTTGATGGCTGGGCAGGAAAGGCCCAGGAGAAGAAGGAAAAGAAAAGTCCCACACGTTTATTAGGTGAATTACTCAGGTATTTCACATTCAATTCACATAACTTTGTACAATGTTTTAGGGTTTTTTTTGTCTTTTTTTTGTGCTCATTCTGGGACTTGAATTCAAGGCCTTGAGTTCTTACTCAGCTTTTTTTCCCCACTCATGGCTGACACTGTACTATTTGAAACATATCTCTAGTTCTGACTTTTTGCTGACTAATTGAAGATGAATTATCTCAAGGTTTTCGCTGCCCTGGTTGGATCTGAACTTGATTCTCAGATCATAGCCTCCTGAGGAACTAGGATTATAGGCATGAGACACCAGTGCTTGGCCTTTACATAATTCTAAACCATGAAAAATCAGAGATACAGAACATATCCAACCTGCTTGAAGCAACGTGATTGGTAGCAGTAAGCCTTTCTGATTCTAAAACCATTTTAGCTCTTGGATGAAAATTGTTTTCATCCTAACAGAAAGTATAGGATTTTTTTAAAAAAAATTATTATAAAGATTCTGTACAGAGGGGTTACAGTTACATGAGTCGGGTAATGAGTCCATTTCCTATTGAATATTGTTACCCCCTCCTTTGTTTTTCCCCTGCCATCCCTGTCCTCCCCACCTCCCCAACTCCTCCCCCCACCCCTGGAAATTGTAAAGTTCGTTTTCAACATAGTGTTTTGTATGTCTCACTGTTATGGGCCAACCTGTATCCTTGTTTCAGCATTTTGTTATTTCCCTTCCTCTTCCCCAATTAGAAAAGTGTATATACAAGATGCAGGGCACTGGAAAACAGGGGTTATACCATGGGGAAAGATCATACAAAAGAAACAATAAAAAATCACATAGTAGGGGCTGGGAAGGTGGCTCAGTGGTAGAGCTCTTGCCGGAAGTGGCGCTGTGGCTCAAGTGGTAGAGCGCTAGCCTTGAGCTGAAGAGCTGAGAGATAGCACCCAGGCCCAGAGTTCAGGCCCCACAACTGGACCCAAAAAAAAAATCGTATAGTACATTAAAAACAACAGCAACAAAGAAAAAACTCCTTGGGTTGCCAAGGTATAGGATGTTTAAGGCAGCCTCATGGCTTTTATGTTATAGGGAGTTAAGAACCATTTTCTATTTTAGGATCCTCCCATTTTCCCACTGGTCTCACGTTTACTAGCCTTTATTACAGCATTATAACAGCAATGAAACTTAATTAAAAGAATAATAAATCCACACAACTTAATTGTATTATTTTGTGTATGTGACATAATATTAGTGAGCAGAAAAATTGTTTGTTTTCCTGCCTAATTACTTTATTTTCCTTCATAATCCTTTTGCCTCATTCTAAATAAGGCTTTTATTGTTGACTTATGCTAGCCCTTAAGTAGTTTACAAAGCTCTTTATTAAAATTTTATTTTTAAATTAACATACATTAATAACATTGGAGGGCTTTGTCATGGGCATACATGTATACAACATAATTTCAAAGTGTCCACAGTTTCTGTTATATTTTAATACCTCCCTCTCTCTCTCTTCCTCATTTTCAAACAGTATTTGGTAGGGTTTCATTCATATATATGTGTGTGTGTGTGTGTGTGTGTGTGTGTGTGTGTGTGTGTGTGTGTGTGTGTATGTATGTATATATAGTGTGTTGTATATTATATATTATATATAGTTTGTTTATATATATATATATATATATAAAATGTTCTTTCAGTCCTGTTCACCCCTTAATATTCCCTCCCTTTCCTTTCCTCCATTCTCTTTGCTTTCATGTTCCATTACCATTACTATCATATTTATTTTGGGTCTATACTCCAGAAATGAACAAATGTGATGTTCGGCTTTCTGAGCTTGGCTCATTGTATTCAACATGATGAGATCTGGTTCCATCTATTTTCCTGCAATGATGTCATTTCATTTTCTTTATGGATGAGTAATATTCCATGGTGTGTATATTTGTACACATCATATTGCCTTTATGCATTTGTTGTCTACCTTGACTGATTCCACCATTTGGCTATTGTGAACAATGGAAGCAATAAGCATTGGTGGGCTGGTATCTCTCTTGTACATTGATTTAGGCTCCTTGTGATTATATACCCAGGCACAGCATGGTTGGTTCATACAGTGGATCTATTCTTAAGTTTTTCTGGAATCTCTATACTATACTAGTTTCTGAGTGGTTGCAATAGTTTATAACCAATAGTTTACCTATCAGCGATGTATAAGGTTCCTTTTCCCCCTACATCCTCACCAGCATTTGTTGTTAGTTGTTTTCTTATGATGACCATTCCAACTAGGGTAAGATGGAATCTTAGTGTAATTTTTATTTTAATTTTTTTTAGTGGTCAAGAGTATTACACATTCCTCAAGAACTTATTAGCCATTTGTATTTCTTCTTCTGAGCATTGTCTTTTCAATCCAATTGTCTACACTTAATTGGGTTACTTGTCTTTTCCTTGTTTGACTTTGGGGAGCTCTTCATATATTCTTATATTAATTCTTTATTCATTGAATAACTGGCAAGGATTTCTCTCTTTTGTTTGTCTCTTGATTCTGAAAATTATTTTTCTTCCTGTGTGAAACCTTTCTACGTTGGTGCAATCCTATGTATCAATTCTTGCTCTTATTTCCTAGACAATTGTAGTCTTACTCAGAAAATAATTAGCTATGTCTGTATCTTCCAAAGTTTCTTCTATAATTTCCTATAGTAGTTTCAGATTTACAAGTCTTACGTTGAGATCTTTTTATCTGTTTGCAGTTAGTTTTTGTACAGGGTGAGAAATAGAGGGTCTAATTTCAGTCTTCTACCTATAGGTAACTGGATTGCCCAGCATTATTTGTTGAAGAGGCTGACCTGCTTCTCTTATAGCATCTAATTTCCTCTTCCCTGTACCCCTGGGAAAGAGGAACCAGTACATTCCAGGGGGACAGTGTGAGAAAATCGGCAACGCTCACCTGAGGAGCCACTGAAATACAGTATATGAAACTTTTATCATTATCTCACTACATTTAATCAAACAGTAAATGTTTAACTATTTTATCTTAGATTACTTCCTTTTCCCCTCAATCTTTTGGGATGGTATAGAAAAGCTGTTTTTAATTCCTTTTTGCCAGCAGCAAATAGGAATCATCTAGAAAGGTTACAAGATTTCAAAAGTGTATGTTTGACTTGTGAAATTGAAATTACTTTTATTTGACATTTTCGACATCAAATACTGTAGCTTGAGTTTCGAGAATCATCATCTGGGTCATTTTCCCCCATGGTAGATAATAATCAATGATGCATGTTGACAAAAGTTTGGTTAGAATGTCAATTATCATGATGTATATTTAAATGGTGTTACACATTTGTATCTATAATTTTCTATAAATGGGTACTTCAGATGAAGTTCATGTGTGTTTTTCCCCACTGGATCAGATGAAGTTGTTGAGATCTAAGTGACTTATAAACTTTGGAATTTAACTGTTGCCTTTTATTATTTCACAGAGAAAAGTACAGTTGGCATTCAGGTGCATCTGTGGACAATCATTACTCAGGTTTCTTGAACAGTAATTGAAATTTACACTGCCTTTTCCACAAACATGTTTCCATTTCATTCTGTCATGTAACATTTCCTTTTTTAATCTGTGCTTTATCTTGAAGAATATTAAATTTGTAAAAGGAAACTTTGGCTATATAAGAACCAGTCATTTGTGTGTAGAAACTTAAATACTGCATTCTTTTAAACATATATTACATATGAAATACATATGTTAAATGTATATTATATTCATATATGCTTAATATATAAGTATTTGCATACATATTTTATAATATATTCATTTAACTATATTTATATATTATGTATTCTCTCAGCCAGGTGTCAGTGGCTCACATATGTAATCCTAGCTACTTAGTTCATAGCCCACTTGGTCAGAATAGTCAGTGAGACTCCATCTCCAATTAACCAGTAAAAAGCTGAGCTGGAGATGTAGCTCAAGTGGTAGAGTGCTAGCCATGAGCAAACTGAGCCAGTGGAAGGCACTGAGTTCAAGCTGCAGTACTAGCACAAGTTATACACACACACACACAATCTCTCAGGATAAAATCAACCAGATTAAGTCAGTCTTCTTTTATATTTTGACAGTCTTATTAATATACAGAGTTATTAACTGGGGCAATATTGTACAACTGTGTTTTAGTTTCACGTGCGACTATTGTATTGAGTACATATAAAAAGTATTGAGTATAAAAAATTCCTAGTAGTAACAAGGCACCTGAAAGTTATGCCTCACTAATGGATGCTTTGTGTTCTGCATCCTTCATTAATGCTTCATTCAACTAGAAGTTCTCCAAGCCATTCTCCTCTGTAAAGTATCTGGTATTATTTATTTGTTCTTAAATTTCCATTATTCCTTCAGTTTCACTGCTGGAAGTGTGAACGATCATCTCTCCTCTAAGACCCCCTGTT